GACCAAAGCTATCCTAGATAATCTGTGCTAGAACAAGGCAAGTTTTTTTCCCCCATTGACAACATACTGTTGGTTCTTACCGATTTCTTTGTACTCTACTTAAGTACTTAAAAATAGCAATTTTTTTCTTAATGGAATTAGACACATTGGCCCTGCAAAAGATTTCAGCTGCTTTGGGAGAACGTGGACATTTGTTATTCATTTTTCATAAATATGGGCAGCCTATGTGATGAGGACATGGTGCATTGCAGAGCAGAGTACAGCATCTTTCAGCTAGTCAAATTTAAAAGAACAGTCATATCCTCTGATGGTCATCTCCCTTATGAAGAATATTCCATCACCATAAAATATTCTCAGGCACTTGATAAGTAATGCATGAGCCACTGGCACCAGGGACTCATCAGGGAGCAAGAAGCAGGCAGTCTTTTTAGCCACATATGTGAGGTGGTATTTGTGATACTCTTGCGTTATTTGTGATGTCAGAACTGAATGAAAGAAAAGTACATAACGTCATGCTCTTGGCAGTGCAAGCTATATCATCTGTAACCTTGGTCAGCAGCCAAATGCTCAGCCAGCCACTTGCCAGCTACCCTACTGAAAAGAACAAAGGTAGAAAACAGGGGAAAAAAAAAAAAAAATCTCACAAGTTAAAATGCAGAAATGGATGTTACCATTACAGGCAAGACACTCAACCTGGGGCAAATTAAAATAATTTCTTGCCAATTAAAGTAGATTCAAACAGAGAAACTTCTGTCATTTCCTTCTCCTGCTTCCTTTCCTAGAAGAAAGGCCAGCTTCCTGACCAGATTTTTCCTCCTCCCTCACTAAATTATGTTATGGACCCATCAATCTCTGCCACCAGTTTTTGACAGCTGAGATGATTATTGTGCATAGGGTTTGGGTGCCTGCCTTAGCCATGGTGTCCTCAAGTGCAGAGACCCTTCTTCCTCCGCTGCAGAGCTGAAAACATGCTAAGGAACTGATGGGTCTGTTTAGGGTAGGCAAAGCATTCCTCTGTCAAATGCTGTACCAACTCAGCGGGATTATATGTGTGTTCTCACATAAAATCCCAGGCCTTGGAAGGGATAACTGCCCTAGGTGTCTGCCAAAATCCTCCCACACACCCTGCTGCCCAGCGATGACCACATCAGGTCACATTTCTCTGTCAACTCACCAAGTTGTTTACTCTTGCACTTGGATGCAATCAAGTTGCACCTATCCAGAAATATCAGATAATAGGACCAAACAGTTTACAATGATAATGCCTTGTCAATATTTTAGAAAGTGTGAATTTAAATGCCAAAACCATTATTTATATTGGCTTTTGAAGGGGAGCAGTCAGAAAAAATGCTACCACAGTATGTACTCTGAAAGCTCCATCATCCTATGCTAAATGAGTTTTATTAGATACATAGAAAGAACAGATTTGCTCTTCAAAATAGTTTGACAGTAAAGAATCCAACCATACCCTAACTGCTAAGCATTCAAACTTTGAGAGATTGCTCTACTGACACTCAAAATTTATAGTTCTACAACAGCCCATAAGCAACATTAAAGGAGGTTGTAAAGCACTAGAAAGCCTACAGAAGTAAAGCAGTACCTGTCCTTTACAAAAGACTGTACTGAAAAACAGTATGTGCACTAATAAAACCCTTCCTTTGTAAAGTTCCTCATACTTTTAGACAACCCATTGAGTGTAGGAGTTTGAAAACAAATTGTGAAAGAGCATTTTAATATCCAACTATTAATCTAAAAGTTTCTCTTCTCCAATGACCTTAGAGCATCTCTTAAAACTGGTTATTTCATTTGTTTTTCATTACCCATACAGATGCTGAAAAGTCAGACACCTTTTCTTGCATGATCTCAGGGGACATATATGAAATTCTTCAATCTCACAAAATTCTCACAAAATCTAATTGATGCTTATTAAGTAATATAAAACCCAGCGGCCTGCATAAACATGATTAGACACAAGGTTGAGCATCTTCCTACGTAATCTCTTCGCATCAAAACTAATTTCTGCTAAAAGAGCTATCAACTGAATTCCCTTAAGAGTACTGTTATATTTTTAGCAACATTTTTGCCTTTGCTCACTCCAATTCTAATATTTTTTTATACAAAAAGCCACGACCAAGTTTTGTCTTCTTTCCCTTTCATTATCAGTCCCTTTTAAAATTTGTCATTATTTAATAATTTAATACATTTTCTCACTCATTCTCTGCTACCTTTCAACACTATCGATTTCAGAATACCTGCCATTCTGCCTCAGGCAGGCCTGTAACCTCATCTATTGTACTGTTTTAATTCCAGCTCCCTCCAGATTCAGAGAGAGGAACTCCCTTCTCACTAAAATAACAGACTCCCACTTCCAGTAGTAAGGGAGACTGAATTTAGGATTAAACAGAAGTCAAATTTAGTTCCCAGCTCTCTTTCTGATAGCATGAATTTAGTTAAGCTAAGCTGTTCGTTTCTACTTTGACAAATAGCAATATTGAAGAGGTAGCAGGAAGAGAACTGTTTAGCCAGGTGTTCCTTTGCAAAGTCTCCCTCTTTACAGTGAGTCAGAGCAGAGTATGGGTTTGACAAAATGTAGGTGATAATAAACTTGTGGGTAAACTAAAGGCTTTGTTTAGTTTACTATTGAAAAAAAATCTTGATTTCACATTCACTCCCACTTCTCTCAATTAAAAGAATGTCCTTAAAAAACTCTTAATTTTTTGCTTAGCTGGGTACTTGAATGAAAAATACTGAATAGCACATCAAAGTAATGTTAATGTGTGCCTTGGTTCCTCTTTGTATATAGATGACCAAATTCACAGCACTGCAGTTCCACTGCAACTTACTTATTCACAAGTTTGCTAATTTGCCATTTTTTATAATCACTTAATTAGGACAATTCAAAGAAAGTTTCTTTTCTTTTAGCTCTGCAAGCACATAAGAACATGTGCAAGCCCTATAATACTTTTTATTTCAACCAGCTGTCGTGCATAATCCAGACTATGCAAAGCAATAACCAGTCTGTTTTACAATTGACAGAACCCACTTGGCCCTAAAAAGGAGTCTCCCATACCCAACTACAAGCACAAAGGAAGACTAGGCAAAAATCTACCTGAAAAATACATAGTGACTTCCAAAGAAATTACATTATTCAATTTAATAGGTGGGTATTTCTGACAAAAAGCTCAGAACTACACTGTTGGACAAATTCTAAGAAAAACAACTGAAATTTATGGACCAGTGTTATGTTTGATAAGGGCTCAAAGTCAAAATTTAAAGCTTAGCTATTCCACCTATCCAAGGAGTAGGGGATTGAGTGGTCTAATAGGAAACTAAGGTTTGTGGCTTAATGTAGGAGGTTTAATTTATTTGGTTCTCAGTATGATGAGCATCAAGAGGGAGCACCAAAATCAGTGAACAATGAGACACTGCTACAGTGACAATACATGAAGAACAGCATTGCCCAAAGCTTCAGGGTATTTGCTAAAAGACTGGGAATGATGTCACTGAGACTCATTTTATTATATTCAGTTTCTTCTATTCACTGAAAATCTATACATAAAATGTCACTCCCATTATTCATTTCAACTGATGCAAACTAAATTATGCACTTGAACCACACATGCACAATCTGGAACACACCACTTTCAATACAGCCTTACTCTTTGCTTCATTTTAGTGCTGGCAGTTGTCCAAGTGTGTTATATCTTATCTTCACAACCTTTTGGAGATACTCTAGAACCTCTGCTTCAAATAGATAGCAAACAAGGACTGGCACAAAAAATTGATGAGAATGCCTTAATGCTTTCAGTTTATTCTTTAGGCCAGAGTAGGGATCTGACTTGTGGAAATCATAACTGTGGGTTTTGAGAAGCAACACAGTCAGGGGAAGTCAATACCACAGCACAGAGCAAAAGGACACAAATACAGACACAAAGGCTTTGGGGGAAAAGTGGGACAAAAAGAAGATTGATAAGATCAGATGACAGCAGAAGCTAAGCAGGCATGGAAACAACTGACAAAGGTCTTGAAGGAATTAATTTAAACATTCCTTCAAGGAATTTTAAAAGTACAAATAAAGAAACTGAGTAAATAGAAGGATTAAAGCAGACATTATCAATCCAACACAGAAGACAGAAAATATCCATCCTCATAATTTGAGAAATGTTCATCAAAACAGAAAAATGGACAAAGACATGGTAGAAATCAAGGTGAAAGTCAAAGAAGCCTCAAAATAAGAATTATCACAAAATTTGAATTGTGGATAAAGTATGTGATAGAACTAAATTTACCATATTTCAGTGAATACCTACAAAGATAAACTCTAGTAGAGCAAAGCAACCATTCTCATTTTGATAAAACCAGACTTTTTCTGTCCAACACACATCTATCTGCACTGTTACTCTGGTGATATAAAAATACACATACATACATACTCATTTAACCATCATCGACTCTGATGATTTATAAACCAAACCAACCTGCATAATATCAGTGCCTCAGCTTTCAACAGCAAAGATCACAAAGTGTGCAACTGAGAATGCAAGGTTTTAATCATAAGGCTGGAAAAAATTCCAGTAATCAAAAACACTTGGTAATTGGAGTTTCAAATCATGAAAGGTCATCCTTATGCAAACATAAAATTTCATCATGTGTCACAGATCACATACTGAAACCAGAATTCTTGACTCCCTACTTCAGGTCTAAAACTCTGTCCATGGAACATTCCTCTAGAGCGTGAAAAAGCACAAAAACAATAATGTCATATATCCATATAAGAGTTAGTAATTAACATTTAGTTCAGCAAAAACTATTTCCACTGATTAAGTTGGCATACATCTTCATCTCTCCTTCCTGAGAATCTACTCTACCATCTTGCCACTTCTTTTCATGCTGCACACAATTAAATATGGAAATCACCAGCTGCACAGCTCTGAAATCAAAGGCCTGCCTAGAGGATGAGAGGGAGAGGAAAGGCAGAGAAAGCACGCTCAGAGCCGTACCTTCCAATTAGCAGGAACTCCCCGAGCACTCCCAGGCGCCGCATGGCGATGAGGATGCCCCTGACAGTCATTCCCTCACAGAAGCACACCACCACTCTGGCCTTGGGTAACCTCTCTCGCAGCTTGCGGAGCAGGCGGTCAAAGCTCTTCTCACCAGCATTGCTATAGATCTTGTCAGAGTGAGCAATGCAGAGACCCTCTTGGGCAGCCAACTCTTTGAAGGCTTCCATTCCACTTTCCCCATAATTTCCTGTAAAAAAAAAAAAAAATGTATATATTACATCATGCGTTTAACCAATTGAACTGTGATGGGAAAGTGATAGCTTCCCCCTCCAAAATCAAGCAACATTAGCAGAAGGAAGAGTAAAATAGATCCATCAAAGTGAACATGCTCAGAGTTCAGTGAAGCAACAGGATATCCATGTATTAGTAGGTCTTAACTGAACTGGTGGCTGCAAGTTTCTTTTCTTATGCTGACTTAAAAATGGATAGTAAAGGGGATATTAAACAAGGAATGGTTAGGTAGAAAAGGGAACAGATCAGACAGTAAGAGTGAAGTTTTATAAACATTTCTACAGCAAAACCCACAGCCGAGCTAATACAGGAAAAAAGGATTTAATTCCAAACTGTCTGTATAACATGCAGTCTATGTTGACAAAAGTGAATGAAAGATGGATGCACATTTAAAACACACTGATCTGGTAACATTTTCAAAGTCACACTAATTTGACTAAGCAATGTTCATGACAGCTAAATTTTAGGCTTCATGATGTCTCTCATAGAATAGGAGACTTTCTAACTGAAAGAACTTCAGAAATAACCCTTTGCAAGGCAATTATTTGAACAGTGTGGTCCAAACTATAGATAAAAACTGATTCTCAAATTCACTTCTATTATACATTCAGCAAGCCAAAACAACAGTTTTACAAAACTCAGGGTGCCTTCTGCTATGGAAACAGGTGAAACCCCAAGTTTTCTTAGAATATTTTATGCCTGACATGAGTACAGAAGTTATGATGAACACCCATCACATAAGAGGAACAGATGGATTTAAAAGAACCCATATCTATTAACAGTAACAAGAAATGGTTCAAAAAGAGAATAATTGATTTGATGCTATCCACATCCATAATGTTTATTTCGTTTAATGAGGGAGTAAGATCAAATATGCTGATCACTTCTAGATCCAGAAGTCTAGTCTTTTCAAGCAAGATCAAAGACATTCCACTTCCCCGTTTCCAACAACAGTTTGAAACAGCAAATTGCAAAGAGGAGGACTTCTGAATAAGTCTAAGTTCCCTCACAAAAAATATTAAAACTCCTCAGAAGTATAGCTATCAGAAAGAAAATGCAGCAAGAAACAGTTCAGGCACTCTCTATAAGCCCAGTGCATATATGTGCATTTTTCCAAAAATGTGGATCATTTGCCACAGATCAACATGATGCAGACACACTAAGACTGTCATTGTCATACTAAGTTGCAGACAAACCTGACAGGTCTAGTGTCACACAAGACTGAAGATCCCCAGCCCTTTGCACTGAACTGCCCTAGTTTCTCATAAATTTGAAGTACAGCAGAATGGCCTCTTTTCTAGCCTGTGACTCAACATCATATTCAGCAATCAGGTCAATTCTGCTTTTTTTTCTGTGAGCCAGAGGTACAGCAGAGCAGCAGTCCTGCATGAGTGTGGGGAGGAGAGGAAGATCTGTGCCTGGTGGGAACTCACCACCAAGCAGCCCAATCCTACAACCCTGTACTTGGGTAAGCACTGTAGCCTTGTCATATGCTAAGAATGACCCAGGCAGAGGCATTTCCAGGTATTTATAGGCCAGGACCTGCTGTCACCAAGGGACTTATTCCAAGGCAGTACAGTTTGAGCCATGCTGCTTTGACAGCTTTCCTCAGGTCCCAGACTGAGGCTGGACAACCTCACCCCGACTTGCTACTAGCAAGAACTTTGTTCAAGAACTTTGAACTTTGTTCAAGAACTTTGAACTTTGTTCAGCAGAGACTCCTTTGAAATGAGTAGGGTTATTCTTGAAGCCTTACCTGAGGAGGGACAGGAGACTAAACTGAATCCTATTAGATGTTTAGGCAGTGTATATTAAAATACATAGCAAGTTTCTTACCCAACTTTAAGGATGGGTTTTATCATGCATCAATAAAGTACTAATTCTGCTGTAGCTCAAGTTAATGGTTGCGAGAAATGAAAAATTAAATCCATTTGGAATTATTTTTCTCAGCTTTAATTTTGATGAAATAATTATTTCAAACACAGTCAAACCCGTACTAACAGTACAACAGCCTACCAAAACATATGCGAAGAGAAAGACTGGTGTCTATAAATTCAGTAAGTATGACAGATCATTTAGAAGGCAAAAAAAGCTAATTAAGATCAAGAGCAACATGAACACAATATGGAATAGGCAAAAAAGAAGGCAGGAAACCTGAAGCTCTAAAGGAAAGATTTCCAGTCCTTATATGAAAGTAGCATAACAGCTGTCCAGTAGCAGCACAAAGAAATCTGATGTTTGACTGGAGCTTGCTCAGCTCACAAGAGTATTATGTAAAGCAGGTTTCTGCCACAGCCTGAGATGAGACTTGGTGACCCTGGAGGTTTCTCTTAAAATCTGTTTACCATGCTCCCAGAGCAAGACAACATGCTGCACATCTTCCCCCTCCAGGGAAAAAGATCAGAGAGAAAAAGAATGTGTGACATATGTTACATAGATTGTTCAATGCACTGAGCTATTGAGGTATGGACAAGGTAAGGGTATATATGGAATAGAAAACACCAATTAATTCCGTGCAATAGCCAAGAACACAGCCATCTGTACCAGCTTGGTGAGTACATCCATTTCAATTCACACTCAGACAGCTGAGAGAGGAAACCTGTATTGAAAGAAATGTCTTGTGATCGTAGTCAGTGAAAACTTATATCAGGGCCCCAGGCTAAGACCTTTCTTCCTTTGAAAGAGCCATTAAATAAAAGATCTAATCTTATCTGAAACTGCCTTTTGCTGCCAGGATCAGCTGTGAAAGGTAAAATAATTATTATTGTCATTTTCTTTCTGACCTCTACCCAAAACTAGGTGAGACAGTAACATACTTTGAGCCCTACAATTGGGTCTCAAACAGCCCATGCCATTTTTAACCTTTAAGGTCTGTTCAATTTGTACCCTAATCAAAGGATACAAATTTTCCCTTATATGCTTCATTCAGAGTCTGTACAGCAGTATAAAGGTAAATTCTAAACCTATCATCACTGCAGTTTTACCAAGGGGATCTTCATAACACTTTTCTTTCAGTGCCAAAGGAAGCTTTGCTTCACCACTGAGAAAATTCAAGATAAGGCCATTTCTGAAAGCAATCTGCATATCTAAAGATACTGCTGAGAGTTCCATATAGTGGTAATTATTCTCACTCATTACACTACATGCCTTAAATATCTTAATAAAAACATTAAGATGCTGTAGTAAAAATCAGAGATGATATCTTGATCAACAGAAGACATACAAAAGGAGAAACTCACAAAAAATTCAGCCTTAAAAATTGCTCCTGTGAGCTAGTAAGTATTACGTTTGTGCCACAGCTATATTGAAATTAGCACTGTTAGGCTGTATTAACAATTTACTAGTGGAGGGAGCAGAACCCATGAGCTCCATCTAAAAGGTTTATGGTTTTTTTATTATTCCTGTTTGGCAAATTTGTCCCCATTCCCTTTCAAGAGAATAATTTGTTTGTCATTTATGAAAAGGAGAAGAAACAGCTCAGCAGTGAGGTGTTTATGAGAATCCTGGAGACCATTTTCTTAAGGGATGCATAGAATGTCTGTATGGGTCTTCCCAAGCCATGTAACAGTGTGTTGTGTTTTCAGGGGGCTTAAAAACAAAACAGTGTGTCCCACCTAATCTCTCTTTGAATGAAATCAGCCATTGATTTATTAGAGGCAATAGCATAAGGAACTATTAGTCATTCATATTTGAGCTGAACAGAACATTTCCTTGAAATATAGGCTAATCACCATTTAAAAAAAAAATCTTGAAGACCATAATGCTGAAGAGAAAGACTGAGACTGTTCTTTCTTGCTCAGCTTTAAGTGTTGTTAGAAAATACCAACTACATTTTTAAGACCCATTTTGAGGAACGCCTACAAAACTGACAAAACCCTCAGCAGAAAACTCTGCCCAAAAGAATGCTCCAATGCATTTATAATGACAAAAGGTAGGGAGCAAGAGTTACTTCACCCACTTCAGGCACGAGTAATCTCTTCAGGTAAGGTCACCTGTTGCTCACTGCTAGGGGCTTATTCGCTGCATTTATTCCTCTAAATCACAGCAACCACAACCTGGATCAAAAGTGAGCCCACAAAAACTCCCGTATACCCTGCAAGCACACAACAAAGGTAATGCACCAAAAAAGAAAACCACAAACTCTAGTTTCACTGCAGGGTGCTACAGAGGCAAGTCATATTGCAAGAAAGTTCTCCTTAACAAGTGAGAAACTATTTTTTTGTCCTCTTCTCTCTTAATATTATGATCTGTTTTTTCACCTCTCCCAAACTTTTAAATACCTTGCTGGAGGTATGAAGTCTGTTTCATCGTTCATTAGTGATTCATTGCAAGACAACTCTTTTACTCAACTAATTAACTACTTTTTGCCAGAGAAAATAAGAACAAGAGGACTGCATGACAGTCCTCTTGTCCTCCTACATACCAGCAAGTAACTTTTTAAAATCTTCACTGCTGTAAAGGCAATTTGGGAAGCACAGAACAAGGACATGATCTGATTGTCAAGTTAGTCCCTGACATATTGCAATAATTTGTAAAAACTAGTGATAATATTAGCTTAAATAATAACTATACAGTTGTCAAATACAAGTCAAAAAAAGACAGGAAAGTTTTGGTCCACTGAACATTAAAAAAAAAAAAAGGCAGAAAGAGCATCAGTTTCCTCTCCTATAATACAGTATGCCTCCCTACACCACAGGAGCATCTTTGAGTAGGGCCACTAAACAAAAAAAAAATTGAGTTCTCTACTTTTAACATATTTGTTACAAGCACTATATTAAATAATCATGTGTCTAGTGTTAGTTGATTGCAAACAAAAAAATTTCAGCCATCATATTTAAGCTAGTATGTTAGTAACAAGTTGGGAGCATGTATAGAATCAGCTAACTAATCTGAAATTACAAATAGTCACTTTCTAAGCTGTAATAATTCAACCACTCACATCAATTTGTCCACACC